AGCTGAATAAAAAGACAGTAGTCCACTGGTTTTCTAGTAATTCAGTCATGAAATCATTTAGACTACGTTGCAACCCCTCAATTATTTAGAAGAGGTTTTCAACTGAAATTCAGAGTAATAAGAGAAAGATAATGCTAAGGAGCACACTTTGAAACACGAAGTTGACCTATTTTACCTGTTCAGCTATAAACATATAGAAATGAGAAATACTTAGAAAAAAAGAAAATTATGTGTATGTTTATATTTTAGTATCAGAATATCACAATGTACTTCTCAAACATACACACTTGCTCCCAATATGCCTTTCACTTTCAAATATGTTTTCTGTTTTAATCTGTGTACATTAAAATTAACAATACAGTCTGAGAGTTTCAGTATTCAAAATTAGTTTCATAACTTAAATTTATGGTCTTATTTTTTAATGCTTTTACAAATACAAAGAAAAAAGAAATCTTTGAATTAAATATGCTATCTATTGGAGCTTCGCTCTCCAACAGCCAAACAGATTAAGTCTAATCCATTTAAAAAATATGTCAAACTACTGGCCAAGTAAATTAGAGCACACTGGACATATGTAAATTATCTTTTTTTAAATTAAAAAAAAAAAGGAAAAAGCAGGAGGACAAGAGTTTATTTTTCTCATATATTCTACAACAGTTGCTTCCAGACCACTTCTCTGTTGAATCAGTTGGCAAAATCATTCACTTCTCAGGCAGACAACATGCTCTGAATTTAAAAAGCAAGTACAGCACCATGAAAAACAAGATAACACTCAAAATGACAAAATGACAAAAACATTCATAGCCACACTCCTTATAAACAAGACCTCTAGTCGAGTACTAATGCCAGCTAGTGATTGTTTCGGAAAGAAATGGAGGACTGCCTAAATTCTTTGTCCATGTCTGACTGGAAATGCCACGTTATAAAAACTGCAATCCTATGGCGAACGTAGTTTACTCAGAGTATTACTTTTTTACTTTTATCAGTCATCATCTGTGACAGAGTTACCAATGCCACCTCTCCTCAGGCTTCAGCAAGATGAAGACATTATCCTTCAGTCTTTTTTTAAAGGTAATCTGTAGAGGTGAACAACATTTACACAGAAATAACCATAAACTGGTGCAATCAGCTATGAAAGAAATGCCCCTAAGCTTGAGCAAAGCAGCTATGCAGTTTCTCCAATTTAATTGGTTCTGCTGAAGGAGATGGACTATATTGCTTTTTATTTCCTCATGGAGTTGTGTCCGTAATTCTACTGCTCTCTAAATTGTATGAAAGCATGTCTTAAAAGACAATATGGTTGTTGACCAGTGCCGTGACTAAAGCATCACAAATATTTCTTTCAGTGATGCAGACCATGCAAGTTCAATATTTCAGAACAAGGTAGATATCCAATAAATTCAATAAATGCTTATAACTTTGGTCTAAATTGTTCATTGCTTCCTGTTTCAGACACACAGACATGCACAGAACATTTTCAACTGAATTCAAGAATAAACCTACACTCCAAAAGAGGCCAACATACTCTCGGACAGCATTTATAGAGGGAAATTAGCACACAGTGAAGTCTTAGTGCATAGTAGTTGACTTAGACCTGTAGCATTTCCTAATCCATCCTCCCTTAGTGTAAACCCCAAAGGAACTACATGTGGAATAACTAACTCACTGAGAATTCTGGTGTAGTTCATGCAACATAATATCATCGTTAATACTTTAAATGCACCTTTTAACAGGTCTCTTAAAAGAAATATTTGACTTATGCCCATACATATGAATCTATAGAAATAACTGATGTACAAGTAAATACACTGTGGATGGTTTTTGTAGCCTGTGAGATCCAGTACAATTTTGTATGACATACTATAGCACATCCATCACATCCACAAGGGCTTTTCCAGGAAACGGTTAAATTTTAAGGATGATGCCCTTAACAGCAAGTGTAGCAAAAAAAGATCCCAGTGGTTAGGATTAGTATGAGAGGGAACTGCATGAGTGATTCCTAGCATACAGCAACTTAGTTGTGATAAATGTTGGTCTACATCATCTTTTATTACAGTCTAGAAGACATCTGCTATGCATACGCAGATGTAACTCGGACATAACTTCTTCAACGGCTGCAGACGTGGCAGAACAGTTAAATTTCAAACCCCTGGGAATACAGAGGAATCTACACAAGTAATACAGAAGCTATTCCAATGAAAGAGTGGGGAAAACTTTCAAAGAAACAATTTAAAGGGCTACACTGAAATGAAGAAAATCCTATCAACTTTGGAAATTGAAACCATTTCTTTACAGTTGTACGTGAAAACAATATATGTATTTATCATAGAAGTGTACAGGCTGGATTTAACAGAATTTTATCTGTAAGATTGTACAAGACTGCAGAGATGGAGGCCTGTTAGATTTAAGTGCTAAATTGCTGATTACAGGAATTCACTTTTTTTTTGTTTAGAGTACAAAAGCAAAAGAAAGGTTGCAATACTAAATAAATTTTTGAAATCACATGTCATAAAACTGCTTTTTTCCCTCTCATTCTATCTACCATCTATGTGGTAGACCAAATTCAGTTTCATGGGCTTGGCACAAGAACACGATTTTGCTTTAAGAGTTATCAAAATGTTTGCTTTAAAGACTTTTCTATTGCAATTCAATTTATCATTCTTTCTTTAAGATAACAAAAGACAATTTGTAGTTGGGGAAATCCCTACTTATAATGTACATGAGATACTAATTCAAGTTCCTGAGGGAAAAGTAGATTGAACTACTTAGTTGTGGCATGATAACTAACAAAACCTTAATGGAATATTGTATTAACATATCAGTACAAACAGTCCTAATAGACAAGTAGAGAGAAGAACATCTTTACCTTGTTTGTAAAGAACATCTTTTCCTAAGTTGTCATTTAGTTCATAAAGCACTGTACAGAGCTGACAATAAAGCTATTTACTTTCAGGTAAGATGTTCACTGCAGTCATACTTCTCCATTTCAGAGGCACTGAAGAAGAGACAAAGAGCTAAAATTTTACTGTTGATGGTTTTTCGTTCTTCCTTTTTTTACTTTTTTTGCTAACTTGATGCTTTATTTTCAGCCTCAGTAAACAAAGCCGATGGTTTGCAAAGGAAAAGATTTTTCGGAAGCTGAGGTAAATAAAAATATATTTTTTTCAGATAACAAGTGAGAGAAAACTCCCAAATGCAATTGTTAGGTTGTGTTTCTTATGAGGATATACCTAGACGGGTGTACACTCTTACCAGAAGCTGATCAGAATCACTGATTTACAATTCATTGTTTAAAGGAATTGTTATTGGATATAGAGAACTGCTGTTCTCATTACATGTTGAGATAAAAGTTACTCTCTGGTCTTTATATTATTCTTCGAATAGACAGAAACATCTCTCTTAAAATTCCTTCCTTGTTAGGAATATCTCATACTTGGAAAGATGACTGAAACAGCTCTGTCATTATTTCATTTGTCACCCTCCCATATCATCTGAATTAGAGGAAAGGGCAGATCCTGAGGGAGAGCCAGAAAATAATAGCTTTTCTTATTTTGCAAATGAACAGAAAAAAAAATGAACAAAGTGTCAAGGCTTAATAGAAGAAAAAGTTTAATTGAGAGAAACGCTAACCTTCTCTCAGCTCTAATAATTTTGAAGGCATTTAGGCCTCCTTTAAATCTTTCTATGCTCTTAAGTGTCTGAGTTCAGCATGAATAAGCAGGGTGCTGTGGTCTCTCTTTTTACATCAGTTTCATCAAAGCTGTACTTCAACAGAAAGCAGAATTTAAGAAAAAAAAAAAAAAATACTTGCTTCCCTTCTCAGTTAGATGAAATGTCAGAGTCCTTCCAGCTTGAAAAAAATAGATATTGTTCTAGAAATGTCATCTGTGCTGTCCGAGTGCAGGTAAGGAATGTAAGAAATGTTATACATCTGACTTAGATTGACTTGGAATTTTTTGTCTGTACTTCTTCCCTTTTTCTGTGTCATACTGGGGCTCTAACTTTTGGTATTATTCCTGCATCTGACATTACTAAAAAACAAAACATTACTATCAAAAACAGATCTATACGAACAGGCAAACATCACATAGAATCAGAGAATTCATAGTCACCAGGATTGACAAAGACCACCTCCAAAACTATCGAGTCCAACCATCCACCAATATTTTCCCGCTGAACTATGTCTCTTAGTACACTAAAGGTTTCTTCAGCACCTTCAGGGATGGAGAGGACATGTTTTGTCTTTTTTTTTTTTTTTTTTTTTTTTTTTGCATAGAATCATAGAATTCTTAGAGTTGAAAGGGACCTTTAAAGGTCATCCAGTTCAACTCCCCTGCAACAAACAGGGACACCGCAGCTACATCACGTTGCCCAGAGCCTGATCCAGCCTCGCCTTCAAAGTCTCCAGTCACCACATCTTTAGGCAACCCGTTTCGTCCAATGCCTCAATCGCACTCACTGTAAAAGACTTTTTCCTTTATCTAACCTAGATCCACTTTTTTTTTAACTTCAGAACCATTTCCCCTTGTTTTATCACAACAAACCCTGCTAAAGTCTGTCCCCTTCATTCATGTAGCTTCCCTTTAGATACTGAAAGGTCTTTCTGCTTGTGGAAACAAGAGGGATGAGAGTTATTAATTAGATTATCTTTATTTCTATTGCCTACTTTGGCTGTCACTAAGGGCATAACCACTACTCTCCTTGCTGCAAAACTCTAGCTCTTTCAGGATATTCTGAAGGCACATTACTAAGTTCTTATAGATACATTTCTACACGTACACTTCAAAAGCGACAGAGCACAAAGCCTTTTCAGCATTCAGACATGAACATTTGTCAGCGCTGAAAAGTTTTTCTTGCTAGTGCATACATAGAACTTCTCAGAAATACTGTATCTACTACTGCATAATCAATGAATATACAGATGTTACAATTCTGAAATATACCAGAGAATTTGGCTAAGCAGGTTATTACATCAAAGAAAAAATAGATAGCATACTTACCCTCACCCTGGGCTCACTGCAAAACTCCAGAGATCTCCAGAAGAAATCCTTTCCTACTGGCAGTCAGCTCTTAAATGTGTCTAGGAGAGGTGCAGCCAGGCACCACCTCTTCCAGCAGCACAGGTGAATTGCCTTCATCTGTGCTCCCATAGCTGACTCATTGCTTGCCTCAGGTGATCAATCAGAGGTTCAGGCCTTGATTCAGCAGCTCCCATACAACTACTATAAACAATTTACTCTATAAATAATAACAGAAGAGCACTCACTCTCAGAATTGTGAAGAATATTATGTCAAAAAGCAAAATACTTAAACAAGAGGAAACATCAAGAAAATAGGGCAACAAAAGAGGTTGAAGTCAAAATAAAGCTTTTTTCTAAGTAGAAAAAAATATCACTTATACTTTCTTGAAAATGTATACTATCTCTTCCACTGGGGATCAAGCTAGACTTACTCAGAATTCTAACCTGATTTTTCCTGCCATATTCCCAGTTGCTGGACAGTGTGAAGTTTCACTGTGTGTACATAGAAGGATATAGTTTTCAATATTTTGTTGTGTACTGTCAATTGGCACCAAAGTTTCGGCATAAGACCATCTCCTGTAGCGTAGCACAGACGCATGATGCAAAAGAAATGGGACAGGAAACAGACCAGAAGAGAAAGCTGATCATAAATAACAGCAGAGCTCCTCCTGGGTTTGCAAAAGTAAGTAAATTAAACTAAAACCTTGATTTAGTTATTAAAAGGCAGGTCCTCAATCTTTTCTCTGTTACCTAAAATTTGCCAAGCACTCAGAACAAAGCCGTTTACTTCATTCATTTGTTAAGCATGTATTTTATTTAATTACAAAATAATGTAACTGTGTGAATTTCTATGTAAAATAAATTTCTGTAACATCATTATCAAACATATATTTATGGATACAAAATCAGAGGCTACGAAACACAGAATGTTGGGGATTGGAAGGAATCCTCCCCGCTGCCCTCCCAGAACAGGAACATCTAGGCCAGGTCATATGAGAATAATTATAAAGAAAAAAGATTTAAAAAAAAAAAATAGAAAGTTGGATTTTACATATGAAGTTCACTTACATATGTGCATCACCAGAATTCATTTTCTTCACGCTACGTTTTCCTCAGTATTATACAAACTCCTATGTCGTTCCCTGGAAAAAATCAAAGTGCTTTGAAGAAAAATGAAACTTTTACTTTTTCTCCCTCTACAAACTTAGAAGAATGCAAGCATTATGTTCCTGCTTTCTTTGAGCATGCAAAAGGCAACTACCCACGTTTTCCTGTGCCCCAGGTCATTTGTTCCCATTGGTGGGATCTCTGAAGATATTGCTATATCTGTTGCCTACAGTGAGTTAAGCCCACCTAACAATCCACGCTCATATCCATAGATGCTGAGGAGACTCCTCCGCTTTTCACAGAGATTATTATCAAACTATCACTCAGTGAAACTATTTGCTAAGCCAGATGTGAAGTGAATACACAAGTGCTAGCATCCAGCACTGTGTAAACACTAATTTCTACTTTCGCTTATTCAATATACTTAGCTGCTTTGTTTATGCTACATTTAGTTTCTGCAGTACACTAATACACTGAAGAATTTTATCATGCCATGCCACATGGCTGTAGACCTAGTAATATTTCACTGAAATTATCCTAATGTTAAGTTTGTGAAATTTTAATTACTTCAGTTCTCTACGAAATCTGGATCTTATGCAGCCACTGCAGGAGCCTGTTGTTCCTATAAAAGCAAAAACACGCTATGAAGACTAGCGAGAGCTTACCATAAACTTTTTCTGAACTGCAAGTTCAGAGAGAACTATAAAGGCCAGAGGTGATGAGAGCTGGGCCAGGAAAAGTATTTCTTTAAGCAGCAGACTTCTCAGCTAGTAAAAGAACAGCTGAGAATTAGTATAAAGCATGTCACGATAAAGCAACATCCCTGTCCTATTGTCTCTAATTTTACAACTTATATACCTGTATGTATACTTAGCTTCAAAGCCCACCATTATCTTAGGGGAGCCAGTCCTAAGTGTCAGCTTTACACGGTGCTGTCTTCCATGAACAATGAATTTCCTTTCAGAATGACAGATGCACGAGAGATTTCGGTTTTTCTGTTGTTGGTTTTTTTTTGCATCTTTTGTTCCCCCCCCCATATGCAGATATTACTGACACCTGTAAGAATTTTGTTTATTTATCATATTTAATGAAGAGATATATTAAGATCTAAAGATAATTAAGTATATTTATAATACTGGAAACTGTTCAGCCATGGCCAATACCTGTCATCATGTCTATGTCTTCATTTTTCTAAATTCCCCTGAAACCTCCCAAATTCATTTCTTTTAATACCATCATAAATAATCAGTAGTTTGCTCATTTCATCTCTCTTCCAGATCATTAATGCAAACAGTACATTAAACCACAATGGTTCTCTTTCAGTATTCAAAAACACCACTACTTAATATTTCACCCTTTTCAAAGATGATGAGTTAGTGATTCAGACTTCACTTTCCATGTTTCATTCTGCTTCTGACCTGTGGCATGATTTTAGCTCTCCCCTTACAACTAGTCATTTTTAATGGCTTCTTGTGAAAGATTTGCCAAAGGCTTTTTGAAGGCTTATGCATGTCTACCTACCTCTTTCTCTCACCATTTTATTGACGCCCTCAAGGAACCCTACTACATTAAATTAGAAGCAAATATTTTTCCATTATAAAAACCAGTTTCCTTGTCATACCATAATCCATTAAGTGTTCCATAATTTTATTTTTAAATTCTTACTTTACTCCAACTAAATTATTTACTAAAGATATATTTTTCAAAGATCTCTACGTCCCTATTTCAAGGGCAGATTAAGTATTCTCTACCACTGAACCTTAATTAATCAGTCTCTAGGATTAGGTTTATCGGTTTTAGAAAAGTTCAAGTCCCATCAATGTGTTCCTCTAGAACTTCTGTACGCATCCTGGAAATTGCTACTGCTTATCTCATCATTTGGTTGCAGAACTCCTGCTTTTGTTACTACACTCTCTAGTAGTGTCTCTTCTTAAACAGCTGAAAAAGTAGTACTATTTTTCTCAAAACCAAACATGAATATTTCCAGAGGAAGTGCTTAATAGGCATGCATTTAAAAATAGCACCACTGTTCTCTTTGATCACATAAGGATATTTTTAGTTGGTTGGGAAAAAAAAAGGCACTATTATTTTCCTCCTTATCTATTTCTCTGACAAGAAATCCTCAAGTATCTTTTATATAGTGCACCATAAATGAAGACAGACAGTTACGAGACTTCTGTTGACGAGTACTGGTAGTACTCCCATTTGCTCTGATATGCTGCATGTATTATTAGATTAATATTGCACAAATCACATATGTCACTAAATACCCGTTTTATTCATTAGGAAAATAGATTTGTAAAAAATTCAGTATTTCATCTGTGTGAGCACATTCATTTTCCTAAAATATCTTTAAATATCTTTATCTTTTTTTTCTTTTTTCTTTTTTTTTTATTTTTTTCCGTTAGCTCTGGTGAAATCAGTTGCGGAGAGGAAGAGACACACTTCTACTGGAAGAAATTTAAGAAGCCAATTACTGGAGTGACATCACATATCTACCTTTCAAAGTATTTCTTATCACTTACTTAATATTTCATAACATTTAACCCAAACCAAGAACATGCATATTTATTTCAAAATGGTTTAAGAATATTTTATCCAGTTCAAATTGTATTAATTCTATCAATAATTATATTGTATATCACCTAAAGAATATCCTTCAAAATAAAAAGCACATTCTGAACATGAAAAAATCTTATTAAAGGCTTACACTTCCCCAGCACAACCATGCAAATTATTTTAAAATAAATGCATTATTTATCACTTCTATCCAGAATGTATTGGAACAGAGATCTAACCTATAAGCAATATAGGTTAATTTAATAACTTATTTTGGAAATGACGTAACTGAAAGATGTTTTGGAAATTTCACATCTGCAGTACCTTAGGAAAGATTTTGCAACACAGAATAGCCAACAGACATTATTTCTGACTTGCCTACAGCTGCTACTATGACACAAAGTAGTACTGCACTCAAAATGTTACTGATTACGGAAATTACAATAATACATTTTCAACCAAAAAAAATCAATCCTAATAAGAATTACACATTTCCCCCCTTCTTACTATCATGCAGAAACTGTTGATAGAAGCAACACCTTCTTACAGGCACTTAAAGCAAAGAAACAAATATTTTCCAGTAGATAAAATATATCACCATGATCCACGCTTCTGTATGTTTCTCTTAAAAACAATATTTTATACAATTTTGGTACTCAGTATTAAAAATTATTCTGATTTTTCACATAGTGTATTTCATTACATCATTTGTGTATATGTTGTAGAGAATTTTTACTGCTATGTTTAAAACTGTAATAAGCTACTAATACTTTATTAATGTCTAATTTGAATTACCATAGGAGAAGTAACACAACTGAAATGACTGTAGGTACTATCTGGAAGAAACACATCAAGGGCTCCCAGTAGTTCTCCAGAACTGGAGACAAGCTAAACACCAAAATTCAAATCCTATTTCAGCTTTTAGTTCTCCTCAGATTTATTGATTTCTGAAACAAAAACTTTGTTGCCAGCTCTGGTGACCAGGAAAAGAATGTGACAAGGATTTCTGTCAGAACGGTAGACTGAGAGATTTGCCTCACTGAAGGGCTATAACTGGGCTATAATTGAACCATGTCAAATGGCACGCATCCAGAGAAACTATTACATAAATGCTTCAATCAAATTCTGTATCATCTCAATCAGTATCTTAAACCTATTTCTCTTTCCTCACCTTTCTGTCACTGTAGGCATATTTGCAGCAGTTTGCTAGCCTTCATGGTTTGGCTGTCTAAACTCTGAAAAAACACTAAAAAAAAGTTAGAAACACAAACAAAACACCACCTTTTTATGAGCTGAGAAACAAAACAGTAAATTACACTGTACCTATGAATATGGAGCTGTCGGAGTAGGTTCAGAGAAAGGCCATAAAGGTGATCAGAACACTGGAGCACCTCCCCTCCGAGGACAGCATGAGGGAGCTGAGGCTCTTCAGCCTGGAGAAGAGAAGGCACCATATTGTGGCCTTCCAGTATCTGAAGGGGACCTACAGGAAAGCTGGGAAGGGA